AAGTGGAGTAAGCTCCATTGTGTAAGCTCTTCTTTTTAGAAGCACTTTGGTAATTTTAGCAGGAGCCTCCTTACAAGCTCAGTTCCTGGAATCAGATTATAAAGAGAATTCAGGTTTATTTTCAAAAGGTTTCAGTAGTCCTGTCAGGAAAAGGGGTTTTTGATTGTGGTTTGGGTTATTTTAAATTATGGGGTTTATTTTTAATTACTTTGAGATCCTTTTGTTTAAAGCTGATGAGCTCATTATTACACAAGGTGTCTGGATTTTAAACCTTCAGATTCTAACCTAACCCAGTTCAGACAGGGCCAAAATACAACACATTTCAGCTGCGAACCACCACACAAAAGCGGTGAGAGCCAGAATGTGCCAAAGCCAAACCCTGGAACCAATTCAGAACAAAAGCAAGACACTGAACCCTCAAGCCCAAATAAACTCAAGCTGGTTTCCTAAAGCCAGCTCTGTCAGTAAGGACACTATTTCCAATTCACTTCACTTTAAAGGCAGTTTTCCGTTCTTTCTCATGGCCTGAAAGTATTGCTATGCTCTCTTGAAGGCTGCTACAAAACACCCCAGAGTAAGACCTGACAAACACACATATTACAGTTCTGAAAAAATCCGAACTCTCGTGTGACATCCCCCCCTGCCCCAAACATTCCTACTGCACCTCACGTTTCCTGTTTGTGTTAGCCCACAACCCGGCCACCAGCAAAAGCCTTTTCAGCAGTTGCTCCACTTGGCTCTGTCAGCAAGCAAGCAGAGATCCACATTTAAGACACAAAAACACAAACAGCCAAAGCTTGCGCCGCACTTTTGACCTGCGAGGAATTTGCTTCCATTCATCCCCCTCCAGTACAGATGTTAACAGACCAGCCGCAGAGGGGGCGTTTATCAGCCGCTTCCTGCACAAGGCTTTGCGATGGGCATTCATTAATTCTAAGCCCATTTTGTTTGCCCCAGCCTCATCTTTGGCAATCCATTTTACCAGAGCTGAACTGAAACCAAATCACGAGACAGAGCATTGTATGAAGATGGCAATGGCAGTTGGTCCCAACCCGGCACTCCACCTAGTGTTCCTTGGTCCAGTGCCCTCCAGCAGCTTGTTCATTTCACTTTGTGGCAGCAAACTGACCTCTCCAAGACATACAAACACACGAAATTCCTCATGAGTTATCCTCAGTCATCTTCTTTTGGTAACTGAGTGACTCGTGCCATTTATGCTTTAATACCCCACCAACAGAAAACATCTCAGGACTAAGAGGAAAAAGCTGTGTGCTGCTAAACCCAGTGTTTAGAGCCATTAATCACAGCACATCTATTTCCTACAGAACTAGATCATGATTGCTATTTTTAAAATGCTGTTTCTAAAGAATTGTGAAAAACCTTTCATGGACTTTGGGAAAAAAAGCCAGCAGCTTTGTTTTCAAAGTGTCAGAATAAAAAGGGTTCTTGGAAGAGTGGCCTGCTTCCCTATTCCTGCACTGCAGATCTGCTCTGTGCCAGCCCTTAGCTCAGCACTGATTTGCAGCATGAGAACTGTTTCCCAAAAAGACATGTAAAAGTCTACATTTAGTGCTGACTACAACTAAGGAAGCAACATTAAACTAGGAACCAATATGGCAGTCAGTGTTCAGACCCTTTGTAACTCAGAGCTCTCGAATCACAGAAACAGCAATAAAAAGCCTATTATCAAACTAACAAAATTGACCTTTCCCTCCTACAGGGTGTTCTGGTGACCAGCAAAATCCAAATCAGATGTGAACCAGTATTAACCAGGGGCAGTAACATCTCTCCGCACTGGGACTGCTTTTAAAGCTACTTCAAGCAAACTGTTTCTAAGCACTCTCCTTCTCAGCTACTGCCAGGACCTCTTCTGGCACTTGGAATTCACACTGCTCCAAACAGCGGCTGGTGAGAGCTGCTCAGAAGAATCCAGACAAATGACAGTTTTCAACATTGGAAAAACAGCTAACGAAGCCAGGGAAAGCAAACATCCAGAGTCATTCATATACTGCATCTGTTGCATAACTACCTCTGTGATTTGCCCAGCTAACAGGCCGTGCATGTGAACAGTCTGATGTGGAAACAGTCGCAGGCAGTAACTGGAGGGCTCTATTTAGGAGAGATGCACCTGTGTCACAGCTGCAGCATTGAGGCTCACTGTCTGAGCAGGTGCCCACATGCCATCAATTCCTACCCCTTGGCCCTTCATGGCAGAGACAATGCTGCAAGCCTCAGCAAGAGCTCTGCAGCACATGGGTGGGCCTGCAAGCATTGTTCTCCAAGCATGTAATTGCATTCCCAACAATCTCACTGTACATACACATTTAAAATGAGCAATTAATTAAAAGCAATTTTGAAAACACTTACTGAGCCTGTTCTCTATTGCCAGCAAATCCAGGCACTAAAGCAGAAGAGGATTTGGTGGTTTGTAACTTTTCATTTCTTTGAACCAAGAGAAGAGTAAGTTTTACCATAACGAAGAAATGTGATTAAAGCATAGGAAACGTGAAAAGTAGATACAGAGTAATGTACGAGTTAACATAGCAAGTTACCAGGTTAACGTGTTGGATTTTGAGAGACAACTAACAAAGCAAAATAGTTTAAAACTCCTCTTTTTGAAAGCTGGAGTGCCTAACTGCATTGTTCCCAGATGGGTTACATCCAGAATACCATTCTGAAATAATTTACCACTGAAAGATGCATCAACAGCTTTACGTTAATATTCCATGTTCCTGTTCAGACAAGGCACAGGCTCAAACTGAGGAGCTACAAAGCAGTGTATTACTACATTGACAGCTTATTACATACAACTATTCTATGATTTTATGATACACATATTGACAAGAACATTTTCAGTCCAGATAGTTATAATGGCAACACCCGCGAAGACAGCTCTGTTTTTACAGCCCCAGTGCCATCTAGCGGCTTCCCCCAAGTTATGAACTGTGAGGTGTTCAGACAAGCCTTCAGCGCACAGAAAGAGTTGACTGTGCTTAATTCCATCACGTATCACTAAATCTAGCATGGGGAAAAGAAGAAAACGAATCCCTGCTTCTCTTCTTACACTCAGTGCCTTCATGGAGTTCCCTCAGAGTAACAGAAACATGCCTTAGGTATTTAAAACTAACAACTATTTCTCCTGTAGTGCTACACATTATATACTGATTATACAGCTTTATTACATTATATTCTGTAACCACTTTCTAATTATCCAGTGCCATCTACTTTGTCTGGTTTTTATGCCTCCTAACAAAGATTTGTAAAACCTTCCCTCCTATGTTCCAAATAAATACCTTTACTCATAATATTAAACTATATTTCATTTCCTAGGTGATACACCTCCCTGTAGTCTTTGGAAGGCTGTTCACCTCCTATACACCCACCATAAGCTATATTGATAAGCCAACACAGAAGCTGCATTTTGTATATACGTTACTTTAATGTGAACTCAGGTCAAGGCTTAAATATATCCACTAGATTTGCATATCCCACAGGAAAAGGTAAATGATGTGTTATGAAATTTAATTTGATTTCTATTAAAGTAATTTAGAACTATTTAAACACCTGGATTGTTGAATACAGAGTAAAAGAAAGGTCAACTAATTCCACCTTCTTTTAGAAAAGAGGTGGTGCTGTCTTAAGAAGACTCCTTTATGTCAGAAAAATCATCTTGGAGTGGCCTAGGGTATAAAATAAAAGCACTCTTGCTGCCCTCTCTCTGTCCTGCTACAAATTCACTCCCTCCATAGGCTGTCAGAGGACCCAAATTGAGCAGAGTTTGACAAGCTCACCTAACGCATTACTCGATGATGGTCTGCCTCTGCAGCGAGGCAGAGCACCTGGTTTCAGGAGTGATGATTTTGACTGATTCTCCCTCTGTGCAGCGCATGTGTCTTACTGTCCCCAAGCTATCAACAGCATCATCTCCAAGTCAGAAAAATCCATGTATTGCCAATTCACTGCTGTCTAATCGCCATCCAGTGTTACATAAAAATGTTTAGACACTGTATTCATCAGCTTTACTGAATGTTCATTTCCAATCATTTAGACTGACAGCAATATTTTTGCCTAGAAGGCTATGCATGCATAAACTTGTTCCTGTTTAGCAATAATTTCCTTTCTCTTGTACCTTCTGCCTCCACAGTCTTTAGGAAAGAAGCTACACTAAGAGCAAGGCTATGACTTGCTAATGCAAATGCAGCCCATGCAGATGCCATTTGGTCTAACAGGCACTGCCCTGCTGTGTGGAAAAGCACGAGTTTCTTATTTCTTGTAGTGTTTTCTGTGTTGTTGTTAATGATTAAAGCAGTTCTGAAAGTAAACATCTTTAATTGTTCAAAATACAAGATGACATTTGTTGCATAAACTGGTTTTAATTATCTTGTGGCCACGAATCCTTTTCTTAAATCCAGGACAGTGGTTTCATAAACAAGGAATTAATCCAATGGCCAAAAGCAAAACACACCCAAACATTTCCCTGTCTTTCCTAGCTAAGTTGAGAAAAACAACCTCATATAACATTCCAGAACAGGTATTATTTTATCTTCGTAGCCATTTTTCTTGCTATTATTTTCAAAGAAAAATTAATACTTTAGCATAGCTGCTTATTTCAGCTGTTTCAGCTAGAAATGACCATTTCAAGCCACCAAAAAAAAGTATGCTGTAAAATTTTAAATGGAAACATTGGAGCTGCACACACGCCAGAAAATGTATCATTTAAATTAGGAAATCAGAGGATAGAGCTTGCAGATTCTGACTCACTGTTTCAAATGAGGATTAACAACAGTTCAACAAACATATCATAGACAAACTACAAAACAAGGTTATACAGCATAGAATATTAACAGCATTTGCTAGAGCCCAGGAACATTACACCAAGTATTTCTTTTCCTTCAGAAGTACTTAACATTAAGGACTCATAGAATATTCTTTATTCACGTATTTTAAAATATGTAACGATAACCTGATTCAGAAAGAACACTGAATGAAAATATCCTTACCAAATAGAGCAGAAAGGTGTGGAGACCTGTTCCAAGTCCAACAGAGGACAGAATGCCCAGTCCTACCCAGTAGGCACACCAGAAGAACTTCTTCTCCATGTATCGTACATACTGAAAGAGAGAAGTCACAGAAGAGAAACCAAGAATGGCGATATCTCCTAGGGGAGAAAATTAAAGCTACAGAGTTATCTAGATTACAGTTGAAACAGAATCCCAGATACTTCTATTTTCAATTTATTACAATTACAGCACAGACATGTCGAGAAAAGAGAACACTTCAGAAGGAAAAGCTCACACGCCTTAGAATCAGCAAGTTTCCAAGAAGATAAATGAAAAGTTCAGGCATATGAGATGTGAGCAAGGAGCAGCAAGCCCCAGTGTCTACTAGAGCCCAAGCAGTGAGCACACAGCTCAGGGAATTGTCTGAGCAGATTAAATAAAGAATTAACTGAATTCTTAGAATTAACTGCACTCTCAATCTGTTGAGTGCTTTATCTTGAATTAACAGCACTTTCAGTCTGTTGAATGCTTTATCTTGAACCAGTGAGTAACCAGGTTTGTTGCTTCTAAGAAAAGATTAAAATGTTGGTTGTGTGTTGCACACATAAATGAGGGATTATGGGGAGGTCCCAGCAAATTCCGGACATAAAAAGTTCAGTTGGGTACACTGGAGAAACAGGAGACAGTATCCCCCTCTCACTGCCACAAGAGCAATGTGAAGGGGATGAGCCTGGTGATCAACTTCTCTGCATCAGGGCCCCAAGAAGAGGTGCCATGGTATACCATCTATGTTTGTTCCCAACAGGCTCAAGGAACCCTTGAGCATCACTGCTCAGCTATGCCATGGTGCAGTGGAGGTCCAGCAGCCAGTCCAGGGCCCATGCGATCCAACACCAGTTTGCAAGAGCCATCTAGTGGCAAATGTTGAACGTGTCACACTCCACCCTTCACGCCGACAAAGCCACCAACCAGAGCAGTTTTTAATGAACTGCCTGATGGTATTTGTGCATCAGGAACGGGCCACCAATTTACCATCTACCGACTTGCTCTGCGTGTAAGTGCTTAGATCTCAAGCATGAGACTGAGCGAGCAAGAACGTGATGAGCTGAAGTAACTCATTTCATTGCACTGCAAGACCCATCCTGGGAAGCCAGGATTCATGTTCCAGCCCCGAGTGTCCCTCAGGCAGTAGCACACCAGAGCAGTTTGTATGTAAGCAAGTTCTCTGAAACTGGGAACCTGCTGATTTCAGAGTCAGAGTGGGAAGATGATTCAGCTGCACAAGAAACACTCTGCAAGGTTTAAAACAGCTTTCTGCCCTCAGGGAAAACTCAAAGAGAAAAGGGGAGAGGAAAGGTGCAGACAACACCATCACCTCATGCTTTAGCAATGGTTTAGACTTCAAAAGGATTCAGAAGCATCAGGCTTCATATACACCAAAAAACGGTTTTAAACAACCATATGAAAACAATGGGGGTATGAGAAGCATCACAGAAACAGATTTGAACCATGAAACCATTTTATATCTAGAACTATGCCTATCCTAGCTGGTCAGAAGACCCTTCCAAAGAAGCAGATGAAACATTTATTTGGAACCCCAAAGTTCTATTATGACTGAATTTAACACTGTGTCTCAAGAGCTCACACCACTATTAAAAGCTTGTTAACAGCAGATGTGAAGGGGTGCTGTGGCATCAGAGGTGTGCTTATTTGGGAACAGATGAGAAGTGGAACACCTACAGGCATAACAGAATAGATCAAACAATACAGCTTATCATTCCCCATCTCTAAAACACAACTCATCCACACACAACGGAGAGAAGTCATGACATGAGAAACAAATATCCTTAATGAGCAGGAGTCCAAAAGATACATTACTATTTCATGGAGACCCCGTTCAATCCCCAGAACACCTACTTTAGCACAGGGACAGAAAGTACTATCACTAAGGAAGGTAACTTGAAATCCTCATACCTGTTGATGTGTTCCTTCAATGTAATACGTAGCTGTGAGCACTGCAAGTGTCAGTAAAAAAGCCACCAGGATACTTCGCCGATGCCACAGTCTTAAAGAACAAATGGCAATTAGGAAGGTTTCATAACTTGGCACACATTTCAAAGTAACTGAAGTTATCCCACAGTCTGGGTCTGTGTGGATGCAGTCAGCAGGGACAGTAGCAGCTGACAAGTTTGCTTGAAAATAAAAACATAAACATCCCAAGAAATTATCTCCGGACCCTTTACTCCTTAAGGAAAAATCTCTGCTTTGCTGTCAAATGAGATCAAAGTTTGTGGGGTTTTGTTTGGGGGGGTGGGGTTGGGGGAGAGGAGGGGTTTGGTTTACTTGTTTAGGTTCTTTTTTTAAATAAAAGCAAAGTAACCATCTGAAAACAAACACAACCTGAAAACAAATAATCCAGCTTCTGCAGCCAAGAGAGTGCCAAACACAGCGCCACCAACAACATCCATAATAAAGCAAAGTGCAATGCAGGCATTGCACTGGCCCTGTGCAAGTGATGAGCAGTGGGTGGAACACAAGTGCCAGTTTCACACTGTGTATGGTGGGTAGAACCACACTGACAGCAAGAAGAACAAATCTTTACACTATTTTGGTTCCCCTGATGTATTGAAATTAATCTCTCTTAACAGCTCAAAATTTAATAAATACATTTTAGCCAATTATGAAGCATTAGGAAGCTACTACAGTAAGGGAAGAGAAGTGTTTTCCTACGTAAGCTGATACCCAAATACCCTTTGAGCCTGTTAAGTTTTACATACACATTCTGCTTGATGCACATGCGGCCACACACAGCAAATTACCAAATCATTTATTGTTTTCTGAGAAACACTATTATACTGTCATTTAATGATATAAAATAGCAAGCACTAGGACCACTTACAAGTCTCAGACATGAAATAGCAAACTCTGAAAGCAATTGATCTATTTAGACAGACAGACAAAGATAGAAGTGAGATATGTAACACAAAGAAAGAGTCACAATGTTTGCTGTTAGGCAGGCTTAAAAAAATCAATGTAATTTTCCTTTCATTTTAAAATAATTCGTGCTACTTATATTAGTATGGCAATTGGATTTAAGTGATTTGTCACAATTTAAATCACAGTTTACTTACAGTGGAGCACTGTCCATCTGAGGTCTCAACTTAATAGCTTATAATAGTCAACATTATTTTCTGCAAAGATACTGTCATGCTAATGCCAGACAATGTAAATGTGCTGCACAACAGAGGGTGCGAGCACTATCTGTAGCAGAATTTGATGTCTAGGAAGCCAGGTAATACTTAGGTAAGACCTCAAATGTTCTCTCTGTTGGGTTTAAATAAATGCTTGGAGGTTGTCAGAAACAGCTAACACAAGACCTGATAAAACACTTCTTTAGAGCAACTCCTGATGATAGTTGAGGGTATGGGAGTTAGGTTGGGCAGGGTGTAAAACAGTATTAAAGACTGCACTACATAAACCTGGTATTTTTCATACAAACAATTTCAGAAGATCAAAATGGAAAATGGAAGTTTCTGTCCATGGATCATATGCGTCAGCATCTCAGCCATAGGCCAGAAGGGTCAGTGAGCATAGCCCATTACCACCAATGTCAGCTCATGCTGCAAAGGAGTGCTCCAACGGCTAGAATCACCCACAGTGATATTAGATCCTATCTTCCAACTGGGAAAATGACTGTAAACTCAATCTCAAACACAAGAGATTCCAGTTACCAACACAAGCACTACGATGGCTGCTACTCTTGGCTTTTGTTTGCCTTTTGACACTCTAAACCCTCTCAATCCTTGTGGGTTAACAAACAGCTATGCATTTCAGCACTAGCAGGGGATGTTAGGAATGCTACTCACACGTTTCCTAACTGAAACAAAAGCTTTTTATCCGGTGTGTAAATAATGCTTAAGGAAAGTGCTTTAATAAATCATTTCTTGCTGTGAAATGGACAACATAGCTTAGAAGCAAAGTCCTCTCTGCAGCACCATAAACAGCACTGAAAATTGCACATACTCCCGAACCCTGCCCTAGCTGAGCTATTTGAAGATCATTCATCAACACTAGGACATACATTAATAGATCAGTACTTAACACTGTAGTCATAAGTACAGTATCTCTTGCCTTAAGGATCCCTAACCACTGACCCACTCCTTCAAACTGCAATATTCAACTCTTCAGAAAGTAAGCTTGCAATTTTCCTCTACTGACACCTTACTGTATTTACACATGTAATTTAGGCAGAAGGTCTGAATACACAGCTACAAGTGTGAGATGTTCCAGCAGCCACCTTTAAGGTACAAAAATAGATATGTTTTCTGAAAGAAGAATTTTAAAGACGTGAATCATCAGGGAAAATGAGATGTCAAATGACAGACTGAATCAGAGCATGGGTTTCCCCAAAACGCTTAGTAGAAGTTAAAGAAATGATCTTTACTTTATGGTCCATTCCTTCAAGCTTATTAGAGTTTCCAGGAAAAAATACTGCAAGGTAACAAGCGGTTGTCTCCACAGTACAATATTCAACCTCTCTTCTCGGTCCCTTCGCTTCCGTTCACTCAAAGAGGAATCTGTAAATGGAAAGCAACAGAAATGTGAAAGCACAAGCTGACAGTTCAGATCCCACCCACCCAAAACTATACTGACTTTTTTCCTGCTTTGTTAGGAGGTTAATGTGAGCTCCCAATCATCTCTTCTACTCATCACAAAGCATTTGCTGCAAGTGCATCAGAAATCAGATGGCTTTCTCCTTCGTGCAGCTGGCAATCATTCAAGAATCTGACCCAGGATGCAAAAAGTCTGGCCTGTCTGTTAGCCTTTATGCAAGGTACTGTGCTACTAGTTACAAATCAACTAATATGTCAGGCCAAATGCAACTCTATTCCCTGTACAGAGACCACATCTCACTTTGAACTTCTGAATTTGGTTCCCTTCCAAAGCTATGCTCAGACTCCTCCAATCAAACTAGATTGAATTACACATGATCTCAGCATGCAACTGGGTAACAGCATCTGCCCTCCCGGTCAGGATCCTCAAGCCATAGCAAGCCCTGCCACACTGCTCAGCTTCTCCAAAAGGAGCCCACCAGAGAGGAAGTGAATCCTGCTTTTACGTCACAGTCCTTCACTGGACTGACACTGTTCATTTGATTGCTTTCAACTGCAGTTAAAAGCAGCTTTGATTATAAACGCAGACCTCAACACTGCTGTAACACCAGTCACTGTACACTGCCAGAACAGGTACAAAAGAAAGGTTCTTCTAACAAATGTGCCATTTTATGCTTACAGTACAGTCCAGATTAATGCAAACCCCAACTATTTTATGGATGAGAATGGCTTGTTCAAAGGTCATCAGGATAATGAGTGATAATAATTTTTAAAATTTTAAAGAAAATGAATTCTGAAATGAGAGAAAAATAACTCCGAAACAATGGAAAAATACTCAAAAATAGTGCAAGTATCCAAACAGACACCAAGCTTTCTTAAACATCATTTGCTACACAAAGTCAAAACACGCATCCTGTTTTGCATACATTTAAAGCAATGCAATATTCATAAATTTTAAATTTGTAAAAAGCTGTTGCATTTATAATATTAATCTCAGCTGAATCCTCAGCATGCTGTAGTATTTCAGTCTTACTCCAGTAATTGAAACATGCTGCCTTATCAGATGCTAATATTTACATAGAAATTGCATACCTCATCTGTCACAGTCCATTTGATTTTATATTCTTTAGCTGAACTAACAGAAATCTTACAATGGCAGATGCTGGATAACATCCACATTCCCTTAGAGTTACAGAATGATTTAAGCCTTTAAGTAAAAGGCTTTGATTTGTTCCATACATACAGTTCCTCTCTAAATTTTGCTGTGTTCATTGCTTCATGAATTTCCGTTCTCTACTTGTCTAATAAAAATGCTCCAACCTTGTTTTTTATGACCTTGTTTTTAGTAAAGGTCATAAAAGACAATGGTGTAAGACTGCAGACAACTTGAGAAATCACTTGGTTACAAAACTTAATTAAATATGGAACTGGCACATTGAAAGCTGACAGAAAACAAACCAAGACGATGATAATTTCTGTGCTGTACTACACAGCACAGATAATTCAGAGACACAAGGCTCTTTGTGAAATGCTCTCAGGTTATTTTTCATGAATCCTAAACATTAACCTAAGCCTACTTCAGAAGTACCAGCAGGAAAAACAGAGGCAAGGCTGGAGATGAAGCAGTTAATGTTTTGTTGGTAATCTATAATCGAAAACTAGTAAATTACAGTGAAGCTAAATGGCAACAGAAAAGCTAAAAACTGGGAGACTAATAACTGGATTTTTCCCAGTGTAAAACAGATTTTTATTACCAAGTACTAACTTTCCAGTGCCAAAGGGTGGGGCTGGACAGTCAGACTTTGACAACCACGTATTTGCCAACATAGTTCAGCTTTCTAGCTCAGTTCTGTTGCAGCCCCCATTGGTACCTGAGTCAACTTTACAGGGCTTACATGCAGAGGAACTACACAGTAAGAACTCTGGAGGGAGAAAAGAGTGTAAAGAGAAAACTGAATGGAAATACATAGCATAAAGCTGTGAACATCAAGTCATTTTCCACCTACCTGTAAAGTTTCCATTGTGCTGTTCTTTGATCATTCCTACACGTCTCTGGTCACAATCTGTTCCATTCTCTGCCATTTCATAGATCAGTCAGGTATGGGGATCTTGGAGCAGAAGAAAACCAAAAAGCACAATGTCTCAATTTCTTGTTATAAAGACTCCATTTACTTCACAGTCAAAGGATACAGGCATACATCCAGCAGTTCTCCAAAGCCAAATCAGTTATTCCACATTACACCACCAGAGAAAGTGATTCAATTCCCACAATGACAGAGACTAAAACAGTTCCACCTACAGAAATCTAAATTTTTCACTTAAATGACAAAACTCCCTTGATTTTAACAGCTGAACAAAAGCTTGTTAAACAGCCCCTTCTACTATTCAGCTCACTGTTTGGGCTCCAGCAGCAGCAGAGCTTTGCACAAACCTCAGTTCAATACTAACAGAGAGGCACTTAAGTTTTGATTCTCATGTTAGAAAGTATCTATACTTACACTAAGCTTCCAGATAGGTAGTATGCAAACAGACCTCAAAAACCTCACAGTGTAAAAAACTGGCCCTCAATATGGTAACTAAGATACAGAACTGCATCTCATGATTTGCACAGTCTTGTATCTCTAAACCAGAAAAGCTAAACCCTTCAGTAGATGAGAGCTCTCTGATGGAAAGCTGTTTGGAAAAGCATACATTCTGTCTGCTAGTTCAGCCTATGGTTAGATCAACCTTAAAAAGCCCCAAAGAACAGCTGTGGTATTCCTTATCCAGGAGAGTAAATAGTGCAATAATTGGAAGCCAGCATAAACTGGCATGTTGCAAGAGTTTTTTTACTCCTTAAAAACCAAACAAAACCTGAACAGCTGACAATTCTTATGCAATCAAACACAAAGAAAGTAGCCAGTCAGACCCCTTGCTTTAAAAACCCCCTTTTGAATCTTAAAACAGTTTCTGGATTTCTATTTTGGAAAAGAGTCCCACAGAGCTAAAGCATCTTATTTGCATTGCATTTCTCCCTGTAAGCAAACATGATTTACAGCTTTTGACATGCTGCTTTTGTTGGAAAGAAAAGCAGCGTAGTATTAAAATGACAGGTTATATAAAACTGTCTAGTGGAGGAAATTAAAGTTTTAGAGGAAAAATACCTCCCCTTTGATTTATGTCAGGCTTAAGAACCATGCAGCAGCTTGGGCTCAGTAAACAGGGGTGAGATCAACTCTTTGACTCAGACTGCAATAATGCTGTCAATTTTGTTTTAATAAAATGTTAAAATATTTCAGATACTGTATTTGCTTAATACTGCCAGGGTTACACACGTCAGTTTTAGACAGATGTTCTTCTGAACAGGTACAAGCCTTGTGTATTACTTGTAATACAGACAAAATTGCTAGATAGAATGTGATTATTATTTATTACTTAAACTCAACAGTAGTCCTTCCTCCAGCACCTTCCTGAAATGAAATGTGCAGCAATAGAAATCTGTCTACTTAAACAAGCTAGCAGAAACTAACTTCTTGCAGGTTACCATTTTTAGTCATTGAAACCTGGGCCCCAAAATATCCAAACCACCAAGAAAACTAACAGAACAGCCTTGCAAAAGTTTGCTTCTGAAAAATGCTGAAAGGCTCCATGGTCAGCCAAGGACAACAGAGGACTGACCCACTGCAGTAGGAGGCTTTACAGCATCACCCTGCAGTCATTTGCAACCCAAGCTTTGCTGTGAACTGCTATTCAAACGCTAGAGAAAGGTGAACCTCTCCTCCTCAGATCAGTTTTATAGCAGTCTGACACTCTGGAAGTCAGCAGAGTCACAGCAGTACTGAGTGGAGGATAACCAGCCAGTTGCTACGGTGATACCAGGATCAAATGTTTAGCCATCTACTTATTTCATTAGGACAGGAAGTCCCTGTAAATGGTAGACTGCTTTTACTGACTGCACTTATGTGGGCTTATTTTTATGTATATAAAAATACATATTTATATACATAAAATATAAGCTATACACACACATCTGTATATTGCATACACACATAAAACTAATTGCAGAGGGGAAATATTTAGCTTTGGCATCCACGGTTAGAAAGCCTGATGTTCACAGAAAGCTGCTTAAGAAGCAAAAGCCATCAGAGCTGTTCTGCACACATCCACCCTTAAAATAAAAAGTTCTGGTTTAGGGAACTTCAGTCACATTTTGTTTAAACATAACAAACGTTAAAAAAAACCAAGAACTTAAGTGGAAGCCACATGTTCCTCATTTTGAAATCCGTCTTCTTTTCTTGTGCAAATCCAGCCTTCAAAATTGAAGTCTCAATTGGTTTGGTCTCTGCTTTCATCTTAATTACATTTACAGAAAGTTGATTTACTAATACAAACTGCTCTCCCTGTTTGATGCTAAAATCTGGGCTGTGCACAACACTTCCTCTCCATGAACTGAATTCCACAGAAATCCATTAAACATCTTACTGGCACATAAAAATCATCAATCTCTAGGGATCTCAGGTGCACTGTTACATACATATTACAGCTCTCACAAGCTGAACTAATAGAGCCAGTTTTATCCTGCCTGCTTGCCTGCTTAGAAAGGCATTAATCTGGGATTAGCTTTGCATAACTCCACCTCAAGTACACAAGTCAACACTGACAGCAAAGTAGACACATAACCCCTTTGCACACTTGTGCAGAGTGAACAGTTGTCAAGGAGGTCTTGAAGTTCAACCATTCTGCAGAAAAGCTCTAAAAACTTGTACTTAGATATAAAGATGACTAGGATATTTGATACTTATCACATGACAAGTCTAAATGGACTGCAATTAAGAAGCCATTCTTACTAGTTTCAGAGAAAACTCCTTTGTTTATCAAAGTCTGATTAAAGCATCTTAGAATAGGGAACTGGAGGATGCACATCCAGAAAGCTCGGCTCTCAATCTCAATCTACTGTTCTGTTTGATGCCTATTTGAATCATTAGTCCTGCACTAATGTCTTCTGATAGAGATAAATGGGAGTGGGAGTCTGACCCAAAATGGAGTTATCATTCATAAACTGAGTCCACATTCTCAAGTCTATACCAAACCCATGATAGCTCACCACAGGAAATTAAATTCTATTTGCTAAACAGAACTTCACTTCTTATGAATGCTGAAAAATACAGAGCCCATATCTAAAAATAAATTCGCTTAATACATGGAGTAGGATAATATAAATGTTTAATAAACATAAACCCAAACTATTTAAAAGAGAAAACAAAACCCCAACAAACCCAAACAACAACTTAGAGCAGTTTTTGCATGAGGGTTGCTTAGATCACTTGTTAGAGCTGTGCTCACACAAGAACTTCTTTGTAGGGCTGAACAAATAGCCCACAATGCACTATTCAGCTTTAGTGCAAACCATAACATTAAGTATAAAAAGACAATTATCACTAGTCAAAAATGTAACTTGGTTAACAAAAAAGACTTATGCCAACTGTGACTGGCACTTCACAGCATAAATGAGACAACACAAAACAAGCCATCAGAGCATGAGAACGTACCAAACTTAGGCACTGCAATCTCTATACTCTGTAATCAGAGAAAAGGACAAAAGCCTCTTATTTGCTTAAGCTCTGGGGAGCCTGCTGGAGCACCCAAATGTTGGGTGCACTTATGGAAAAGCTTAAGAGAAGGCAGTTGGGTGCTTGTGCTCTCACCCAGAGGAGCCAAACATGGACTCATGTTCTATACTAAGGATTTTTTCAGGACTCCTTTCCAATGTGCTGGAACAAGGAAGCTGTTAAACTATTTTAATGATCTCAATGCCTTCCCAGGCACTGTTTGAATCGCTTACCACTTCTGACTTGGAGACCCTAGGATTCTGACTCCCATCTCCATCAAAGTTACTTGTCACACAGCTGCTAGAACCGGATTTATACTCAGACCATTTTGCTGATGTTTTCTCCCAGCCACCTTAGCAACACACCATTTTGTCATTTCTTGCATTTTAAGCCAAATGCTCCAATCCTTGCTGCTTCTTTCTCCCCAGCCTTTCTGATAATCATTCCCTTCTTCCTTATCTACATCACTGTTCTTCATAGAATCAATTCTATGTTTTTCAATTACAATAAAGAGAACAAAAGAATAAAAAAAAACAGACCTTCCCAGGTGGGTACATAATTGCACTAAACTAGACAGCGATACACATCTCTAATACAGTTTGGTTTCAGTCATCAAATGCTCTGCTCAGGCAACAGTTTTCAAAGGGACTAAGTTAGCAGTTTCTTGGCAAAGTAAGACTTCAGAGAACATTCCCCTTCCAAAGTCAAAGGCTGCCTGGCACAGGAAGACATTCAGGTAAAGGATGAGATCAGTCTTGTGAAACATTACATACCCTTTCAGTTCCGTACAACTATGTCACTCTTCACTACTTCTATATTTGAAGCCAGCAGAACAGACAACTACGTCCTCAGCTCTGTAGACATTCAAGACCAAAGCGACTACTCCTCCAAACCTTCTGTCCCTACAGAGTAAGATAATACTGTTCATCATGTGATATAAAACTAACACAGTCCCTAACTTGGAGGTTAATAACTTTCCTAAAAATGGCAGGAAACAGAAAATGTAACTGCTTGATTTTTTCCAGTCCTTAACACTCATGGGAAGCTTTCAATTAAAATAAATTAGGACACATCAGAAAGACATTCAAATCTCCACAGAGCTCACTATAATGGGTGACTTTGATATCAGTGCATTTATTCCCATACTAAAAATATTTTTCTAACTAAAATAGTTTAATCTCTCAAAGGAAAAGTAATTCAGTTAAAGACAAGTTTCCATTTTGTGGGTTATGCCTCTCTACACCAGACCTATTTTCCAATTCTTAGCCAAATACCAGCTCAAACGTTATCTGACAATTTGGAGTTAATATTTCCAGTTTTCAAAAAAAACTTTGGGAGACGTTTTAGGAAAGAATGATTTAATATTGTTACAACGCAAGTTTCAGGGGTGCCACGCATTTTCTTTTGAGGTTACTAAGAAATCTGTCCCTGCTGTTTAAGGCCACTTGTTATTAAGCTGCTCTCTTTCGTGGACTTTCTCAGGTGAATCATGAATATTGATGGTTGCCTATGTAGCGTACAGCAGTAGAATTGGGTACTATACTAATACAGTAGAACCATCACACAGTATTATAGATGAAAAGGCACAGAAGATGGTAGGAAAGATAAAATTCATATTGTTTGGGTCTCTGCAGTTATCTCTTGATGAAACTTTAAAAATAAATAAATAAAATAAAAGGAAATGGAAATAACCAGGAATGTGAATATTATCAGTGTAGCATCCCATGCTATAAACAGCTCACAGATCAGTCCTGTGCTCTTTACACTGGCAGGAAGCAGCAAGCCTAGGGTGCAGGTTGCAGCTGACAGAAAAAGACTGCTCTGCTGCTGCTCAACTAGCCCCTGAGAAAAGCACTCGAAAGGTAGCAGCAAGGGTGAAATACGTTGCTGAAGGGGTGACCCATGACCACCACAGGGCACCTCCTCAGAATCACTGCTGTGCTGCCATGCTAACTTCACTTTCCCAAGTGCCCAGCTCCACCATATCTAGATTTTGAATGAGACACCATTACAGTACACTGTACTTCAGGTCCTCTCTCAAACAGGGAGTCAGGGACAAGAACTACCACAGCACTGATCAGTGCTATGATAAGGTACCTCTTGGGGAAGGCATGACATGTATGCGCAGGCAGCCCTTCCACCAAAACTGATGATTTGAAAGGTCTGATATGAGCAGAGAGAAAGGCTTTGGAGAGAGAAACCACACAGCCCCATCAAAAAAGACCGTAACTTAATATTCAGGTGACTAAACAGACAAGTATCTTTCACATCCTTAGTTCCAGAGGGCTATACACAAATCCATGCTCATACTACCTTCCAAGATGTTTGTCTCGCAGCCCTCAGACCACATTCTACATTCAGGTGGTAGTCAAACGCTGCCATCAACCCCCTAAGCTTCCAAAAGGCACATAGGAAATAAAGGTCACAATTATTGTGACAAGATAACACACCCTGCACAAAAAAGCCTTGCTAAAATTTGCCCGGGAAAGAATGAAGAGTTAGAAATGTAAGAGTATAAACCCAGCCTTAAGCATCACCAGCTGGATCCTCCAGCAGCTTGTGCAGTGCAGATTTGGCAAGAACTCTGCCTTTTATACTATCTTGTAAGTGCTGGGAGACAGCATCCCCACAAAAAGATGTCTGAACCTGCCCAGCTGTTCTACCCAGACTGCTTCTTCTGGAAGAGGAAATACAGCACAGATGAAAGGGAATGAATAGAAGTCACTGCCAGACCCCACAGAAAACTAGCTGAAACATGCTCCTGAGACAATGACCTGTACTTTTCCTAGATGGTACCAGTCTCTAACTGGAACCAATTCAGGTTACGCTATGGCTGCCTTGGCCATTCAAATGTGAATACAGATTCAAATTCACCACACATATGCTGAGGCTAATTCTGAGCCTTGTAGGAGAGTAGACAGTTCTTCTAAGAAGTCTGAAATAGACTAAGCAAGTGCCTGCCTGAAAACAACATATTCCTGTTTCCTGGATCCATGTGGACAGTGCAGCCTCAAAACCAGCAAGGTCCTGCCCCATGACTACAGCTGCAACCAGCCATAGGAATACAAAAAGCTCAGTGTTGGAACAGCTTCAAGGCTGTGCCCTTTGCTCTTATGGAATAGCAAAGTCCATCCAGCTCACACTTCTCCACAAGTACCAGAAGTTAAAGTTCTACTCTGCAGGTAGTAGTATGTTTCCCATCACCATTATACCAGAAAAACTGGCCTACTCTTACTATACATCAGTAAGTTTTCTGTTTTAAAATCAAGATTTGTTAAGAAATAAGATCTCAAAATATGCACTATTTACACAGACCATTCTAAGGAGAACTAGTCACAAAATGTAGTCAGAAACAGACCTCATAGCAGCCTTCCAGTATCTGAAAGAGGCTTATAATGATGCTGGGGAGGGACTATTCATTAGGGACTGTAGTGACAGGACAAGGGGTAATGGGTTCAAACTTAAACAGGGGAAGTTTAGATTGGACATAAGGAGGAAATTCTTTCCTGTTAGAGTGGTGAGGCACTGGAATGGGTTGCCCAGGGAGGTTGTGAATGCTCCATCCCTGGCAGTGTTCAAGGCCAGGCTGGACAGAGCCTTGGGTGACATGGTTTAGTGGGAGGTTGGAAGTGGAAATCTTAAGGTCCTTTCCAACCCTTAATATTCTATGATTCTAAACACTTCTGACATTCAAAAGATGTTTAAAGACAAGCACAGTGTCCTGGGTTTAGCAGTAGCAGTCATTTTTCTCTTTCGTGGTAGCTGGTGCAGTGCTGTGTTTTGATTTTTGGGCTGGGAACAGAGCTGAAAAAAAAAAACAACGATGTTTTGGTTTGGCCAAGGACTTTGTGAGCCTCATGCTCTGCCAGGGAGGAAGGGAAGCCAGTAGGAAGCAGAGACAGGACACCTGACCCAAACTGACCAAAGAGGTATTCCATAGCACAGCACGTCATGCCCAGGAGGTAACTGGGAGTTACCCGGAAGGGCTGGGACTGCAGGGTTGGAGGAGGCATCGGTCGGTGCTTGGTCGGGCTGGGGGGGCTAGTTATCGGTTGGCTGGTGCTGAGGTGTTGTATTCTCTTCCCTTGTTATTTTCTTTATCATTACTATTATTGGTGGCAGCAGCAGTGATTTGTGTTGTACCTTAGTTACTAAACTGTTCTTATCTCAACCCATGGGAGTTGCATTTTTTTCTGATTCTCCTCCCCGTCCCTCCACGAGTAGGGGGAGGGCAAGAAGGGGGGGGAGTGGGTGAACAAGCTGTCTGGGTGGGGTTAAACCACAACACACAGGAAAAAAAGTTTTAGGGTGGGAACAGTACAGACATTCAAGTTAAGAGGCTTGCTTCCATACTCACTTTCCTCATTACTACTGTCCACTTAAAAGTTACTGGGTCTCCTACTACCCTTACCCACAGAAACTACAAGTACCATGGATTTCAGCTGTTAAGTAGGACAAGAAGCTTACCCCAAATTAGTAAGTAGTGCTCACCTCCCCTCAACTGACTGGAAACCTGTTTTTCCAACCTCTCATCTGAAAACAGGGGATGAAGCCATCACTACAGCTGTCACTTATGACCAGGTAAGGAATAAAGACAAGTCCACCCATGCTGCAGAAATAACGGATTGAAAGAAAGGGAACAGACATACTGAAGGCCATTTTGATAGGCAAACTAATGCACTAAGAAGAGCTTGCCAATGCCATCATAAGGTAAGATGGTATAAAACATGAGAACCCCCAGTCAACCTATCTGGCAGGAACCAGGGTGGAACAACCTCAGAAGAGCTAAGTCCTAGCAGTAAAACAGCACCAAAAGCCACTGCTCAAACAGAACACATATGCTTCAAGGCATAAATGAGTAGTATTCCTCCACCTCAGAGTGCTCAATCCGTATTATTAATATTGATTAAACCAGGACACCCACCTGTTGGCAAGCACATGCCAGAGAACACAAGGACAGGAGAGAACCCTGAGGAAGTATATGCAGGTCAAAGCAGATAACCTGGATTCACAGCACTTTGTAAATAAAGAGCCACCATCAAACAAACTTGTTAGCCCTTCTCTCAGGTCATCTAAATGACTTGCCAAACATAGGTCAAAACTAGAACAAAATGGGAATATCACTGCTTTATTATCTTCTGCAACCACCAGATGACATTGGCCGAAGAATTAAGAACCAGACAAACACATCCAGGTCCTTAACTTTGGTCAACAGGAATGAGACATCAAGAGTCCTCATGGATTTGGGCCTAAATCGACAGAAAGCAACAGCAGTCTATAGGAACACGATGCAGAAGATGCAGCCATCGGTTCAGCCAGAGAAACACAAGATATTTCTACTGAAAAAGCACACAAAGACCGCCAGTGCCCGACTCCGCAGTCAGAAGGATGAGTTTCTCACTGTGTCATCAGGCATCGTCCCCTGGGCCACAGCAGGGCGCATTCACCATGCAGTCACCGTGTTAGAAAAGAGTGAAGTTTTTAAGATAAATAATCATATAAAATGGTAGGAATGATTATGTTTAAGAGGTTTATAAATCAATAGTGTGATTTTGTAGATTAGAAAGAGCTATAATTTTGCAGTCCGGTATCGTGGTTAACCAGTAACCAGTGATACAATAGTAGTTTTGGTAGCAGGCGCTTTCACCATGCAGTCACCGGGCTTTGTCCAGCCCCAGGTGGAACGCCCCGAGCACAGCAGGTCTCCGGTGGGCCGGGGGATGAATTATCAGCAGCGGAACTATCGCCCTGAACGGCAGCAGCGACGAGCTTCCTCCCACACTTCAGGGGCCTGAGGCGGCTTCCCCCCGCCCCAGCGCTCAGCCAGCGGCCACCTCCCGGCTGCCGCACCCGCGGCTCCCCCCAGCTCTCATGCCTGGGCCTCTCCCGCCACCCCAGGTCACCGTGCCCGGGACGTCGCCGCCGCCGCCCCCTGAAAGCAGCTCCGGGACCGGGACGCCCGGCCCAGAGCGCGCTGTCACAGCGGAGACAGAGATGAGGGGGAAAGAAAGCGCGACCCTGGGCCCGGGTGGCCGTCAGGGGAGCGGCCCGCGGCTGGAGCTAAAGGGGCAGCATGAGGGAAGCCCCAAGGGTGCTGCCGAGGGGACGGCGGCCTGGCCAACCCCCCCGCCCGCTGTGTCAGCCCCGGCCCGGCCCGCCCCGCCGCACTCACTCACCGCGCTCCGAGCCGGCGGCTCCCGCTGGGCCCGGACTAACGAGGAAGTGTGGGCGGGGACAAGCCCGCCCCTTACCGCCTAACCCCCGGTTCGCCACTTCCGGCGCGTCTCACGCCCTTACTCCTCCCTCTCCGGGCCAGGCACGTCTTCGTCAGCGTCATCTGCGGGCGACAACCGCCTGCTGTGCGTGCGGCAGGTGAGCGTTGGGAGCGGGCCCCTGGGGGGCCACAGGGCCCGGCGCAGCCCGGCCCGCGCTCGGCCTCCGCCCCGCCCCGGCCCGGCCCGGCCCGCGCTCGGCCTCCGCCCCGGCCCGGCCCGGCCCGGCCCGCGCTCGGCCTCCACCCCTCCTGCCGCAGGCTCCAGCCGCCCCGTGCGCGGTTTCTCCGAATCAACCGTCACTGCCGCAGCCCTCGGTGGGGTCGAGCTGGATGCGGCTCCGCTCCGCACCCCGCGCAGGGCCCTCAAGTGAACGTGGGCTTTGACTTAAACCCTCCGCGCTTTACCGCTTCTCTCAGCGTTTGTGTGAATTTCGCGGGTTTGTTTCTTTGTTCTGCTTCCCGAGCCGTCCCCGGGACGTTGTTCGTGCACAGTCAGGGTGCCGTTTGCTGTTAAGAGCTGTCGCTGGGAGTGGCTGTGGCCACGTACCCATGAAGGCATCTCTGAACTACTTCCCCAACGCGCGTTTTAACGAGCACCGTTTGTCTCCGCGCACGCGGTGAGCGCTCAGCCGCTGACACCGCCGCGCAAGTTCTGTTCTCCCCTTCTTTCCACAGGCAGTCTCCGAGTCCCGTCATGGATACCCTCTTCCAGTCCGGCTTCCTCAATGTCATTGCAGGAGTTGCCTGCGGTGTGTGCCTGGGATGGGGCATTCGGGGGAGGTTCCTCCGGCAGCCCTTGGTGGGAGCCAGCGCGGCCGCCAGCAACAGCCTGGGCTGCGAAGCCATGGGCGAGTCCGGGGAGTTCAAGATGGTGCTGATTGTCCGCAACGATTTGAAGATGGGGAAGGGTAAAGTAGCAGCACAGTGTTCCCATGCCGCTGTGTCTGCCTACAGGCAAGTGCAAAGAAGAAACCCTAAGCTCCTGAAGCAGTGGGAATACTGCGGACAACCGAAAGTGGTCCTCAGAGCTCCAGATAAGGAGACACTGATCCAACTCCAGGCTGACGCAGAACACCTTGGACTGACTGTGAGCTTAATCCAAGATGCGGGTCGGACTCAGATAGCTCCAGGCTCCCAGACTGTCCTTGGGATTGGTCCGGGACCAGCTGATGTGATAGATAAAGTTTCTGGTCACCTAAAACTCTTTTAAGCTGGGGATCAAACAAGTCTGAATGTATTGCTATGTAGTGGTATGAAGGGCTAAAATCCAGGTTTATGGAATTTTGCTCGTGTTTGATAGCGGAGTAGACTCCACAACTTTGTTAAAGTTGTACACAATAGGTCCCATCAGTTTCATGTTCTCAAATAAAAGTTTCTGTAAGAGATTTCACATTTGTTTCTCCAGCTTTTCTTTCCTTCATTTTAAGGTGGGCTCAGTGGGGTTGAGGGAAGCCAGCAACATTTTTGGTGCCTGTAAGCAGGAACCCCGTATACTGAAGATTTATGCAATTGAAGATTTTATGCTGGGTTAACGGCTGAAGAGCAGCTTTAGTGAAGTTTAATTTGTCCAATATGCAGAAATGTCAGGTTCCTCCTCTCTACCTTAACAGAAGGGATTTTTAAAGAGAAATTCTTTTAATTCTGAAAAGATGAGTTGCTGTAGCTGTTAAAATTAACCCGTACAACTGGGGGTATGTAGCCAACTTCCTGTGCAGTTACTCATTGAGTAACTGATGCAATAGCTTGTAGCCAAGTTAAACTGGCTTTGCAGCCCAGGCCTTAACAGGCTGTAATCACGTCTGGGTGTTATCAATGAGAGAGCCTATGAAATTGAGCAAGAGATAACAGATAAAAAAAGGGCCGGGGAGCCCCCCCCCCCCCGGCCCGAGACGCGCACCCGGGCTCTTTGGGAGGCTGTCCTTTATAGGTTCAAGGCTTCAGCTAATCCCGCTGCTTCTTTTCACTTGGATGCTGACGTGGCTCTTTCCCATTGCTTCCCTTTGGTGCTGGGGTGTCATTGTCGAGAAGCTTCCAGAGATTTCGAGAAACGCCTCATCACAGCCTCCCTCCCTTATATGGTGCATATAACAAGATACAACTTCAAACTACTTAACCCCCTCCTTAAAGTGGCAACATCGGGGGAAGTCGACGGCTGCTCCTCAGCGCCTTTTTGTACCCCCCCTTTCTTTTCCTTCTCCTAATTTTGTGTAATAATACAACTGACTCCCTTTATAACCCACGAAGCACAACAGTTACGAAAGAGGAACATGTCTCCAGCCACAGGGAGCCTTCTAGAGTGCAGCAAGCAGCATTTCCCTCCAAACCCCTTGATGAACAAACCCCACACATTACATGGGGAACAGCTGTAAGCCATGCTCCTTTCTGGATCTGTCTGTGCAGCTGCTGCACTTGCAGTAATCTGCAAGCAGTTAAGCCAAGTTCTAGGCTGAATAAGCTCATATAAACAGCTTGTCCTGCAGGGACTAAATTAAATTACATTTTACTTGGCATTAACAGGTTCTGGGTATAAGGAAGCACGCCATCAGAGCTGATGTTGGGCAGAATTCAGAGCACACTGATCATGGCTCTGCAAGTCCCCTCTGCAGCTCCACTGTAGCTTAAACATGGTAAAAGGCAGGTTCCCTGCACTTGTAATAAGGGGGACTTTGAGACCATTTTTGAACAAAGATGTTTTGTGAGAATTCTGCACTTTTACAGCCTTTCAGCCATGTCTTACAGTTGAGTACCTGTGAAATAGGTTGTAGAAGAAAATAGGATTTGCCTCCATCAGTCAAATTTACAAACCTAGGGGAGCTGAAATGCAAGCATAAGCAAGTGTAACAAACAGAACAGGTTTTATATTCTGCACCTCCTATTTAGACATAATACTTCTCAAAGACTGAGAATACTGACTGCAGATTTCTGCTCCAGACTGAACAAAAGCCTACTCACACTTAAGAGCCTGTGGCAGGTGAGTTGCCTCCAGGTGCCAACACCCACCATGACACTGCTGATGCACTGACAGGACCCCAAAACCTCACTTCAGGTTTCTCAGGAAGAAGCAGGAAGGGGATGCAGCTACAGAGCTGGAACCTGACACTGAGAATAGGATGGCTCCTTGGGTAAGAGACAGAAGTGCCTACAGCTACCACAAATAGGGCTCATTACACTCAAATATGACAGTATTCATTGAGAAACATTTAAGTCCATTTTATTTGAAGCTCAACATGTTTAAGGCAACTTACATACCTAGAAAATGATCTCAATTTAACTGACATACCCTACTACAATCCTAATCTATCACCTGGTCAAATATGCTGTAGCTGGCCACAATGCAGCCAACTATTGAAAAGTGCTATTTTCTTCTCTCTGGCATAATCTTTCTATAGAAAAAGCATTACATATTTTCTTGTATCACCCCCTCAGTGCAAGACACCACTACCGGTCTCCATTGCTGCTCTTCTAATGGCCCCTCATACCTTTGAATGTATGCACTTGCATGTCCTGTACTAGCACTGTAATACTTGGCTCGAGTTTGAAGGTCCTGTTTGAAGACAGTAAAATGAAGCTACCACTATGCAGCATGTCCACAGTCCAGTAATTTATTTTTAAACTGAGTAATTTCAAATTGCACAAACAAAACTGAACAGCAATATGCTTGAATTCTCTCTTCTGTACACTCAAAACAGTGATCTAAAACACCACAATATCCAACATACACAAACCTCAGGGCAGGGTTAGTAAATACACAGATTGGAATCATGGTGCTCTGTTCCTGAATGGAATGTCCCACAAAAGCACAGGATACAGCACAACATAAGGTCATCTGTTACATATGGAGTGAGCAAAAAGACACTAGCATTTTCTAGATGCATAACTGGAAAAACCTGCATAGGTTAAGAAAAAAAAAACTCCAACCAACTTGTACTCATTTTAAGTCAGGCAAGGTTGTCTGTACGCATTTTAAATTCTTTTAGAGCTATGCAATCCAACCAAGGTAGGATATGCTGATTAGTGTTGTCTCTTGTCAGCGGTCTTGCAAAGTCAAATACAATCTTCGCTTTAGCTTTCTCCGAATATACAGTGATACTTAAATGCGTTTAGAATAGACAGTACATACTGTAAGCTGCTCACATACAATGAACTTAAGATTCAATATTAGAGTGTAACACTATAGAGTGCAAATCAGAATCTTCACAATAGACTTAATGGTAATAAGCAGTCCTGCAAAAGCCCACTTGAACAAAGTCGTTTAAACTATTCCCCTTTTAAAGTCTAAATGACATGGAATGTGAAAAAAGATTTAACATAAGTGATTCAAATAGTTTGCGCTAGAAAAAACAGTCCTTCATGAAGTAAAGGTTACAAGAACACGAGGCAGAACTCTTGCTTTTCCCTGTTATGAGTTAAAGCGGGGAGGGATGGTGGAAGTTTCAGTAAGAAAATACACTAGCTCCAAACTGACTTGTGCTGCATCTCACATGCTGTACCCAAAGCCAGGCTGCGGTTGCCCATATGGAGGTGCAGTGTAGCCATAGCCAAAAGGTGCTTGTGGAGGAACTGCAACACTGGGTCCTGCTGTCAACATTAGCTGTGGCTGACCTGGAAGACAGAATGGATTCATCTTTATTCCTTGGTACCGAGAGAATTGCCTGCAACCTTCTTGTAGACATTTGTATGCTTAACAGTAAGTCCCTATTGACCTGGTTTGGGGTCCTCAGAAGCCAGAATGGGCATTTCCCCACAAAACCTCAGGATGACAGATTCTATGGTTAGAAATACCACACTGTGAAGTACCTGGACACAGATTCTTGAATTCTGGGGTAAGTAGTTTAAGTTCTTAAGACATCTGATGATGAGAGAGAAAGGAACAGCTTCCTGTTCCTTAAGCAGTGAGTTCACCCAGTCCCAGAGTCAGTCTGGCTCTTAAAATAGCACTTCCTGCTCCAATTGCATTAGTAACTCTGCCTTGCTAAAGGCCAGAGCCCTATGCTACAGTGAACCTGATGCAAAGGCTTGACCCCTGCAGTGCTAAAGCACAGGCACCTTCCAGAACATTCTCATAAATAGTATTCACTACTTTGATAAGCAGCTGATAGTCAGACACTTACAATTCAGTAAGACGGCCCAATAGCTTGCAGTTATTATAGGGTGGCCAGGACACAGCTCCAGCCTGGTTCAGCCTTGCAGTACCCAGCAGCCAAACATTTTAAGAACATTAAGAGTGCACAGACAACTGCTGCAAGATTTTTGCTTTGACAGACACTGTTGATTGGATTACTTATAGAATCATAGAATAGTCAGGGGTGGAAAGGACCTTAAGATCATCCAGTTCCAATCCCGCTGCCATGGGTAGGGACATCTCACACTAAACCATGTCACCCAAGGCTCTTGTCACATTAGGACTCAGAACTAGGTTTTGTAACATCACACCCTGTGGCTTTATGGCTAATATTCCACACTTGCACGTTTCATGGTGTGGAGACTAGATCTGTCAGCGATACAGCAAAGGCTCCTTTATTACTGGGATAGAATTCATATTCTTACCAGAATTAGTGGGCTAACCTCAATACAAAAGGCAATACCCAAGACAGACAAAGCAAGTTGAGCAGCATTCAAATAATGCGCTTGCTAGAAGTCTGGAATTACACAGCTTTCGCATTCCTTTCCTTTAGGAAGCATTTCTTTAATAAGGTGGGACAATCTTAAATCCTGCAGCTCATACACTGCTGCTAAAATTGGATTAGAGTGGTACTTCATCCAGTATTTTGGAACACGTTTCTTTAAGACTTTATTTCACACGAAGAACATTCCCATTTCCAAGGATACCCTTGGAAAAGCTGTAAGTAGAAAAGTGGCGTTTTTAAAGCAGAGCACGCTACTGACAACTCATGAACTAAAGCATTACCATAAACAATAGGTTGTGTTTCTGTAGCTTGCTCCTCTTCCTTTCTCAAGGACTCTGAGGCATCCAGTTTATCCACCTGGAATGGAAACCAACAATTAAAAAAACTCTTCTAAGAAGAGGTACTTATTCATGGCAGAGAAGTGGAAAAGCCTTAGTGGTATGTTAACACCCATCAAGAAAAGGAGACCATTTATAAGTTAAGATCAATTCAAGTAGCAATGTTGGTACTGGTGCAGTCAAGATTGTCTGTTTCCTGAACCCCTAATTGAGGGATTTGTGGAACTTTGAAAGCTCACTCCAGGTTGAAGCTTAAATGAAAGGACTTGAGCTACTGCGACATCAGTAAGCTCATCAGTCAGTGTGGCTCCAACTACTTCAA